TCGTTTTTTTGTTGCACCCCCCCAATAAAAGCCATATTTGTGATATTGTTGTCACATGCACACAATGACCACTCTTTGTCATAAATTCCTGCATCTGCTTCAGAGTTGCTGTAGGCCTCTTGGTCGCCTCTCTGACCAATTTCCTCCTGGCTCTTTCATCCAGTTTGGAGCTACATCTGGTCCTGATCTGAACTGATCCAGGGAGGGTCTGTGTTGTATCAAATACCTCCCACTTCTTAATAATAGACTTCACTGTGCTTCTAGGCATTGATAAAGCCTTTGACTTTTTTTGTATCCATCTCCTGACTTGTGCCCATCCACAACTTTATCCGGAGATATTTTGACAGTGCCTTGTCACCCATCTTACGTCATCTTACATTTCATACAGTTGACTGTTAACAAACATGATGCAGGGCAACAACTCAATGCGTGATGTAGCCTATAAAATGCAGTTATATGCCCTTAAATTAAACATTACATTAAACCAGGGTTTCCCAAACTGGCCTTAATGTAAGAACTGCAGTGGGTTTGTGAGTTGATAAAAAGCTAATAATTAAATAGAACATTGCACATTAACATTGAACTGTAAACATGCAATTGTGTTGTTAAATTATCGAAATATTAACTTCCTCAGAGATATTTCAAGTCAATATTTCATGTCAAAGGGGTTTGGCTGGCAAAAATAGTTGGGAATCCCTTTGTTTCATACATGGTCTGATTGCTTGAGCGGTACTTAACACCAGCAGCAGGAGTGAATCCACGTTTTAAACGAACTGGGTAAACCGATGATTCAATGGCCTATTCAAAAAGAGAGCCGTTTACTTCATTCCTGAATGAATCAGCAGTTTGAAGGAATGGAATGAATGACTCAATGACTTACTCATAATGACATTTAATGCCATCTACTGGCAGTTTCTTATTAAGAATATTATTTCATTTAAAAAGAAAAGTGATAGTTCACCCAAAAAGAAAAATTATGTCATCATTTGCTCACCCTCATGTTGTTTCAAACCTGTGTCACTTACTTTCTTTTATGGAACATAAAATAAAATAATAAAGATTGTTGGTCACCAGAAGAAAAAAGAAGAATGTCGGTAACAAAGCTGATTTTTTTCCCTCATAACATTCCTCATAACAAAATCAACTATGAAATAAAAAGTTGAAATTAGAACATACAAAGTCATAATTATAATTTCAAATTTATAACTCATCAGATTTAAGCGAGATTCAAATAATGAGATTAAGACTTTATCTCATAATTTTTATCTTGTAATTATGACTTGGTATGTCATTTCCAACTTCTCATAATTACGACTATCAAGTATCTAATTATTTTTGACTTTTTACAGTATCATTAATGATTTACCAAAGCATGATTTTTTTTCTTATGTGGCAAAACTGGGCTTCCATACAAATAGCAGTAAAATAGAGCAAAAGTTTCAGCAAAGTTTAGATTTCAACCCTAAGCTCTAATGAAATGCTATGTCAATGTGAGATTATCAAACTTGAACCAAATAACAAATGTAACAAAGTCTGCACATTGAGTTGTTTGGGCTGAATTAATTCCAGAAGTGTAATACTTTGTTTAGAGGTTCAGAACAAGCCGCAACCAGAATGTCTGAGGAATATCACCACAGGGACGCCTTGCAAGCACTGTTAAAAAGATGTTCAAATTTTAACTTTCACATTTTTATTGAAAACCACACAATGAAAAGATGGTGCTTCAGCTTCAACCATCAAAACTCTCTAGGAGTAAAACAAAAACTCCAGTAACTGGAGTCGAGTCCAAGCACTGTTGATGTCCTGAAGGCTACAGCAAAACACACTCTCACACTCCATGCCTCCTGCAAAAGTGAGCCACAGATCTGTCACAACACAGACCTGCAGAGACATTACCCCTTTGTCATAGCGGTTCAAGAACAGCTCTGTGTTCCAGCGGGCATTTGAGCTGCCAAGTATGACAAGCGGAAGCTCTGCTTCAGCAGGACACATCTACATTCACCCGAGATCTGGCTGAGACGCTTCGTGACAGCTCTCCTTTCCTCGCCCCCTTGACACAACCCCATCCTTCCTCTGGTTCAGTAGAGCACAAGTCTTGACTGCTAAGTCAATGTCTCTCTCTCACAGCCTGTTTGCCAGGTTTCCCTTTCATATTTATTCCTTCTCCCTTATAGTAAATTCATGTCCATCCTGGTCTCAAGGTCTTAACTCTTTCTCCCACTGCTACATTTTGTATCTGTGACCTCTGGTAAACCTCCTGGGTGATGCAGACAGACACAGAAGATTTGGTATATAGAACCAGACTAACAGTCTTTGAAATAGTAACCATGGTCTGCAATGTGCTTCTCCAGAGATCTTGTACTGCATTTATGTTCCTTGAAGCTGCCTTCTTTACCAAAGCTTCTTATATGAAGTTCAACATGGTCCATTGTGGGCAATTCAGCAGGACATAAAGGCTGTAAGTCACAATCCACAACAAAATACTAGAAAGAAAAATCCGAACAGGAAATAGGTTAGGTTTAGTTTAGAAGACACAGTTTGGGTTACCAATATTTACATCTAGTTGACAGTTAAATTAAAAAGTGAGTCACAAATATAGAAATATTCTGCACCTGTGTTGCTTCTTTTCTCAACATGAGGCTGAGTTGTGAAGCTCTTTTCCAAAGCTTCAGCGATAACCTGCTGGCTTCTGAGAAAATGTTGATGGAGGATAGTGGAGCTTCAGCCCTCTCTAGTGGTGTTTTAGTGAAATGAGCAAAGATTATCTGGCCAGTATCTCCAATGATGATGATAGACTACTTAGTAGCATGCTCTTCTGGACCCTAATTCTGCTGCTAGTAGAAAATATATTTTACCAAAGAATCAGAACAAAAAATATTTAAGACAATTAAGGTCTTTTCTCTCTCTCGCTGTTGCGTTATTTTCATGACAATGAAGTACACATTAATGAAATGCAAATAAATAAATCACTACATAAATTAAATTCATTATATTAGGTTATACTAACCTAATTAATTAATTAATTAACTAACTAACTAGCAGTTTTATTCAGCAAGGGGATATGAAATAAATCAAAAATTACAGTAAAGACTTTTACATTGTTACAAAATATTTGTATCAATTTTTTTTAAAATTTCTATTCATCAAAGAATCCTGAAAAAATTTATCCTTAATGTATTCCACAAAAAAATAAAAAAATAAATAAAAATAGTACAACGGTTTTCAATATTGAAAATAATAATACATGTTACTTGAGCATATTAGAATGATTTATGAAGGACCATGTTGTCATCTATCTACAAAATAAAAGTTATTTAAAATGTATTCAAATTTTAAAATATCATTTATTTTATTTTAGTCAAATAATTTTAACTTTAGTGAGCATAGGAGCCCTTTTTCAAAAACAAAAACAAATCTTACTGATCCTCATATTTTAAATGGTAATGCATGTAATAATCTTTTTAACAACTTTCTGTATTAGAGTAATGAAAATCTAAAGACAACCACCCTTGAAAATAATGTAAATTAGAACATCACAGGAATTGACAGTAATAAATAGATTTATTAAAATGCCTGAAAACATTACAGTAATGAGAAATTGTGGTTAGAAAATGTACTTAATTATCATAAATAAATAAATGTATCGATGTTAAATGCAGCCTGTTAAGATTTCTGTAAAGGAGTGGAAATGATTGTCAGGTTTACAGTCAGTGAGGGCATAGGATACAGGCTCATACAGCTTTTATAATTCCATGTTTTATGTATGTCAGTGAGAAATATGCATTAGGGGCACTTGCTAACAATGTTTATACCTGGGTCATAAAAAAGGCATGACAAATCCTGCTCAGTATTCAAAATGTCAGAAGTTTAATGTAAAATATTTCACATTATAGGTCTTGAGACTACCCTATGGCCTGGCAAAGAACCTGTACAAGGATTTAAATTTAAATCCAACTGTGGGCAAATTTGGGCAGGAAGGAGGTGGGAGGAGATCAGGCCAAGCTTGTTTGGAAAAACATAGAAACATGCCAAGTCAGTGGGGACTGTCGGATGCATGTTCTGCATAAGCTGTTATGTGTTATAGGCAAACACAAACTCGCAGTGCTGTATATCTGCATGCAAACTCTCACAGATGGGTACAGCGTAGACAAGCTGACAGCTTGAGGCATTATATTTGAAAACAAACTCCTTTCGACAACACGGAGGTGAAAGTTGTATCCAATTACTCTCGGAGAGCCTCGCAGAAGCAACATGACAAATATTTGTGCATATTCACCCACATACACACCAGACTGTAACCATGGAACCACCAGCCTGAAGGATGAAATAGTGCTTCAGCCCACTGCACCCTCAGTTACTTTGTCCTCGTGTCCATTGTGAGCCTTTGAAGTAGATACAAAAGTCTTCTTCCAGCTCCCATCTTTTCCCTCTATCTGTGTGGATATCTGCACTTATTCATTTCCAGCTTTATGATACTGAATGTTCTGAAAACATGTGACACATAAAACTTTCCTCCACCCTTTGGAGGAATGTTGTTTTTAGCTTTTAGTCTGGTTTCTAAATATACCACTAGCTAATAAACACTTTCAGTGTGACTGCTTTTTGTTCTGAAGTTTTTAGTTTTGATTTTACTCCCTCGGATCTTTATTCCGGATACACCATAAATGTGGCATGTCAAATATCCAATAAAAAAAATATTGAATATGTAGTCTAGCTTTATGAAAATTTTGTTAACACATCAATACCACAAGCAGATGATGACTCTACATTTCTATACTAGAACAATGTTATTTCATGCAAAGCACGTCTCTTATTGTAGTGAGCAAAGACACACACACCCACAGATACACACACACACACACCTATAAATAAACAAAAAATTGCAGTCCTATGAACTTCTTTGAACTTTGTGTAGTTTTAAAGCAGTCTGAGTAACTTTATTAAATGCTCCCCGTGTTACACAAAACTAATTACAATAGCAAATCCCCTATATTATATTTAGAGTTGAAGCATAAATAATGATGTTTCATTCATTTCAGTTTAACACTTTCATTTGGTTTCATTTGACAAACTCAGGTGAGTATAGTCATAGATCTGGCACAGCCTTCCAGCAAAATCAAGTCTGTCTAGATTGTCAAATGAAGGCAGAGCTTTTCCTTTTGATTCCAATGAGGTACAAACAGCTCATACTGAACCTCTCCGACACCTAAAAAGGTAAGGGACACATAGGATTTATATATTCTCAAACTAAAGGGGAAGTAGTATTTATTTATTTATTTTTTATAAATCATTGTCGTTATGATAGGGATCAAGACTCGCTTAATTTAGTACAGGTGCATACATGTAGATTCATTGTTTTAAAAAAAAATCTGATGTTGATTTGTTTATTTGTATTAGTAAGTGCTAACTTGTACACTTTAACAAACTACTGTAAGTTAAACTTAAGCACATTTTGTGCTTTACATGCACATATCTGTAAATGTAAATGACAAGACTACTGGCTTGGGAGTTTCCTGTAATAAGATTATGCGTCATGAACAAGAAGATATTCAAACTATGAGAACTATTTTATTGTCTAAACAACTCGATACTGTTTTGTACACAATGCTTTTGCAAACTTAATCCATGGTAAATCTATTCACTATTGTGAATACTGCAAGCAGATCTATAATGACAATTGATGACAATTAAAGAGAAGTACAATGAAATACATAAAAGGTACAAATGTCTTGCTTTACTTTGAAAACGCAGCTTGATGTAAGCCACTGTAAAAGAATCTGTACAGAAAATGAAACCCCCCTAAAATAAGCCCTTAATGCTACTTTTAGAAACTTTTTATTTAGCAATTTCTTGACATGTCATCCTTGACATGTGCTTCCGTAAAAATATATATATATATTTTTTAAAGAGAGTCTGTTTCTCTCGAGCTTTCTATCTCTCTCTCTCTTAAAAAAAAGAAGAAAAAAAAGAAGATTTATTGTGAAACCAAGTGAAGAAGAAACCAAAAGATGTTTAGCAGGGGAATTCTGCTAGCAGAGAATAGTTATAGCTCATAAACTTATTATAAATTGATAACATTAAAGTATTAGTTACATATATAATACATAACTTTTTAACAGTGTGCAAAAAAGTCGTATCACATAAAAGAAACTCACTGAATTAATTATAATATTTAGCCATTTTGAAATTACTGGCATTGGTCAATAAAAAAAAAAAGTTTGTTAATGTTTTGAAAATAATGTAAGACAAGCATTTATTTAATTTAGGCAACTTTACCATTATCAAATGTGCTGTCATTAAATGATTGCCTGCATTAAATCATACAAACCTGGTCTAAGATTAGGCATGCACCAATATTACAATATATTAATATATAATATTGAATAAATTATTTGTAAAACATTACAAATTTCAATCAGTTGTTTACAAGACACAAGTGTATTAAAGCAACACATTATAATGTAAATTATAAAAAAAATTATATCCATTTTGATATTTGATAAAGATTACGTTTAACAGTTTTATTAAATATTATTATTTATAAAGATTACCTGTGATTGAGCATTGGTGATGATGATGGCAAAGGTAATAGAACTGTAAAAAAAAAAAAGCACATACAATTCAATTTCAAAGGATAAAAATATAAATGTGTTAACCAATATGATTACTGTGCATTCCTGTGTCACATACTGCCATTGAACTAATTTATATATTCATGTTTATTTTATTTTTTAACAGGATTAACATCCTGGTATGAGTAAGGCAACTGTTTGTGGTGGCAGACATGAACTGGTTGTCCCTACAGGTCCTGCTTGCAATGTCCACAAGGGTGAACACCTGTATGCCAACCCAGGGAAGAAGCGTGGAGGGCTATGGTACACCTACATACTCAGCCTGGTGTTCAAAGTTGGCTTTGATGCAGTCTTCCTCTATATTTTGTACTTAATTTATCATTTCGACATGCCAAGAGTTGTCAAATGCACTGAGGAACCTTGTCCAAATCAAGTTGACTGCTACATCTCCCATCCTACAGAGAAGAAAATCTTCACCTTCTTTATGGTGGTCACTTCTTCACTGTGCATCTTCATGTGTATCTGTGAGATATTATATCTGATTACCAAGAAAATTCGCAAATACCTGCTCAAACAGCATGAACACAACACCATCACACAGCATAATTACAAAAGGGTGGATCCAACGGCCTCATCCAACCAGAATCTCAGCAACTTTGAAAAAGCAAAGGCCACAGCAGGGGAGAAGGATTCAGAACCGGCATAATTATCGTCTGAACTGACTGTGGAACAAGCAAGCATTATAAACAGTAGTAAGACACACTGGACCTTGCTAATAATATAGATAATCCAATCATACCAATACGCCAAAGGAATATTGCATTTAAAATATTTTAAGGACTTTTTATTGTGACAATAACATAGGACTAATTCTGAATGTCATTATTTTCTTATATGTAATCATTTAAATGAAAAATAAGGTCATTAGGGTGGTATTCTTGAGTCTCATCCACTAAAGGATCACACTGCCCCCTAATGTACAGAAAACAGACCCACTTCAGACAACAACATGGTGGGGAGGAGACCATAGTAAGCATCCTGTTCCTGGCCTAATACAGTAAATGAATAAGTGTCCACACTTACTAAAGTCTGAGATCGTCCACAAAACATTGATCAACAGCTACAGGACACTCAGAGACTCTTGAAAGCTGGACTGCCCTATAACCTTGGGAAGTCTACATTTTGCACATCAATACTTTTATGATTTGCTCAAAACAAATGTAATATTTCATGTACATGCACTGTGTAGTAATAATGTTTACAGAAATCATGTTTTCAAGTATCCCATTGCAAACACATCCTTTATTGTGTTTGTCCTTGTTTATTTTGCACATACTGTACTTCAAAGTAAAGCACTACCAAATTCTATGTAATACTAAATAAAGCACAAATGAGCACACCATATCTAAACATAAATATATATTTCTGTTTCTAAATTATCACTATTACAATTCATGGGAATATGGCAAAATGTAAATGTATTAAACATATACAATTTATGTATATATGCAGAAAAATATGCAGAAAAAATGGGTCATCAATATCTGCAAAATAAGTAAATTGTCTAATTTTGCCTAAAAGTGCTGCAGAAATGAGTATACCCTTGATTAAATTCAAACGTGTAAAATTACGTAGTATGTCCTCTATAACAAAAGTTTACTGTTCTTACCCTTTTTGGTACCAAGTGCACAAATTCTTAACAAATTGTCACGTTTTTCCAGTTTAACTACTGAAGGATGACCTCTTTGAGTGCCCTGATCTTTAATGGTGTTGCTTAACTTGTCTTTACAAAATCCCCCACAGGTGCACGAGAGTGTCGGTTGCAATATTGTCCAGTGCAGGATTTTCACTCTGGGGTGTATAGAGTCATTGTATCACTATTTAAGAACTTTACTGGACCTCACTCTGGGGACCAGGCACTTCTCACTGTACTGTCTCCCCCTTGTGACACTATTTTGAATGCTATTAGATTCAAAATTATTAACTTGGTCATATGAGACCAGATTATGGATTTAATTTTGTTAATATGGGCTATGGAAAGGCTAAATGAATTTCTTGTGCTTTGGCTACAGTAGGGATTTCCTGTGTTGACAACAACCAGGCATTTCAGTGCTGCAAGTTGCATATACTGTGCGAGATGAAACAGTCACATCCATAGCTTTTGCCAGCTCTGGGACACATTTTCCAGCTCTTTTCTTAGCAAAAATCAAAATCACCCATCACAAAATGAAAGTGAAGGCTTGATTATTTAAAATTCTGTATATTGTGTGCGAGGTATAACTTAATATTGATATGCTTTTTGACAAATTATATTAAAAATTATAATTATATACATGTCTTCTATGTGAGCTTTCACTTTCAGTTTGTCTCACATACATATATATATATA